CTTTTATAATGTTTGATCTATTATGTGTTAATTGAAATAGAGTAGCTACATGTCCGAATTATATAACAACACATAATTAAAAGCTGTGTTAACATTAGTGTGAGGTCTTTTGTCTGAATGCCTGTGATTCAGCCGTAGGCCAGCAGAGGGCGAACTCAGGCATTGAAGAATCGTGTACTGTATTTAAACGGGGACTTCCTGTTTTTCATTCAGTGTGGTTTTGACTTGTCAGCCGGTGGCATAATAAACCTCACTCGCTCCAGAATTCTGGATTGTATGGTTTATTCCTTCTTCAATTCTATTTATTTAACACTGGTGTTTTAATGTTGACCTCAGCCGTATTGAACACCAAATTCCTTACAGGATTATACTGATGTGTTTTGTTTTTATAGCATCATGTGAGGGAGTGTCCTTGACAAGATGACATAGTAGTGTATTTTAGTTCTATGAGCATTTGTACATCAAAATACACTTAGAATCTGAAATATTGAGTATATTTACTATATATTGCAATAATTTACTCTGTATTTCGCCAGACTGGTAATCCTGGGGTCGTGATGATGGGGCCCTTGAATATTGTTGCCCAGGGTACAGCGAAGTGTTAATCAAGCCCTGAGTAACGTGCTAATATTTCTAATTTGCCTGGTATGTAGGACTGCTGGAGAAATTATGGCAGCCAGCTTAGCACAAGGAGGACCTCCCCCAAACTTCCTTCGCAAATGGTGCTACAGATATCTTTGCTCTGGGGATTTGGACAACATTCAGGTGTCTGCCTGTGATGTTACTGACTCGGAGTTGACATAACTTATTATGGAGGTAAAATAATAATAAATTGATCAAAATTTGATGTAACACCACTATATACAAAAAGAAAAATGCATGTCTGCGAAAATGCTGTTTGGACCCCAACTTTACAAATGGGGGTGCTTTGCTTTCCTCTTTGTGTGACCTCTAGTAAGACTACACTTCTCACATTTTAGGCCAGAAATTATATTTCTTTAATTTGAAAGTCTTATCTATTTATACAGGAAAGGAAACTTAAAAGTAAATAGTTTGTGTTAGATATCACAACCAGGTATTTTATCTACAATATGTCTCACGCATTCAAAATGCCAATTTGCCTCACTACTCTACCCTGGGGACTGCCTTACAAAGTTTAGAAGCATGACACTACATGACGATTCAAACAAATGGCTTAATATTTAAAATAATCCAGAACTGTCAGATGTGTTAACATCCACTGCTTTTTTCATTCTTGCATTGATTACATAGAGTTTTTGTCATTCTAACATACATAAAGAATCATTTTGTCTAATACAGTATAACATCCAACAGTGGAAAAATGATTGGTATGTTTTTATAAATTTCATGTAAAGTGCTAATTTTAATTGTATTACAGTTGCCGTTTTCACAATTCTTTCCCTTTGAAGCTAGAAACAAAATTTCATCTCAGAAACTGCAGTAAAATTTATATTAAATAATCAACTCATTGAACAAATAAGTCAAAGGAACACTTTGATTTTAGGTAAACAAAGCAAACAGTGAAAACATTACTGAAATGACTGATGCCATCATCACCTGTGGATACACTGGACAAGTCTCTGCAGAGAAAAAAGACATGATAATCAGGTAAGTAAACATTTTAATTGTCTGATCCCAATAGACAAAATGTACTGTACAACTTATCTTCAGTTATACTGAAAATGCATATGCGAACTGATTCTCCATTTTCATGTTTTCAGATCTATTGTGCTTCACTCAACCATGCGAATTATCCCAATGCTTGATCAACTGAGAAAAGGCCTGCATCTGTATGGACTTCTCAAGGTTATGGAAGCACACCCAGATCTCTGTCTGTCACTGTTTGTGCCAACTGACGATGATAGGGTGCGTACATAATTGTTTTTTTTTTTCACTGAATATATTTTATGTTGAATGCAACAAATGAGTGAAATCTGAACCCAATTTTCAAAAGGTGGATGCAGCATTTGTACTGGAGAAGTGCCAGCCTGATTTCAGTGTGAAGGGCTCCATGAAGTACACCCGAGAAGAGAACATCATGAATTTCTTCCAAGACTTCCTTCAGCTATCAATATGCACAACACACTAAGTAAAGTCTTACAGTGCTAACTGAACCACAAGACATGTTGAAAGAGCTACAGTACTGTGAATTTTTTATTTTATTTCATTTTAGCTCTTCTTGTACTTTAAAAGCAACAGTGTTTGCTGTAGGATGTCTGTCTAAAGAAAAATTAATTGTAACCACAAGAGGCAGACAAACATTTTTTAAACTTTTTTTTAAGAACAAGAACAGACAGACAGTGAGGACCCACACCCACTGACAGTTGGAAGAGTCATGCAGTGGAACACTGGACAGGCTCATAAGCCTCTTCTTCCAAGCGAAAAAAAAGGATTTATATGTTAAGTTTGATCAAGACTGTAACTCCCATGCTGTTTGTTTTCCAATGGTCAGTGCATGCACTTGCACAATAACATTTCCAGTAGCACACTTGTCCACATTAACTCAATTCCTAACCATCATGAAAACAGCCATCCAGTATGGGCAATCTTTCGACAGGGTCTGAAGTACTTTGTTAGTTTTACTTGAAGTACTCATAAAATAAGGGGAGGGAGAGACTGAGTGACTCACCCAAGTTTTGTTTCACTGTTGCAGTTCTATTCATTTATACTTTTTTAAGGAGTTTTAAAATAAGTTTTTCATCCAAATCTGAACATCAGATATCATACGTTCATAGCACATTTTAAATCAAACCTTTTGTGGGTGGCGAGGAAATTACAGGTTCAGCAGTTAGTTTCCCAGAAAATTATTTGAATGTGGTCATTTTTGTATTCATTATTACTGAAGTATTACTGTATGGAGGACCGAAACTGATAATTCAAAATAAAAGCAGAAATGGAACAAAAAATATATACAGTATATTTAAAAAAACACTAATAAAAATAGCACTTTGCGTCATGTTTTATAATTTCATTAACCTTTACTTCTCCAGCTTAGTTCAAAATAAATATTTTAACACATTTTAAATGGTACTTTTTAAATACTTTTGTTTTTCCTTGTACTTGTTACGTGTCTGGCAGATTTTTCTTCTTCCTCCTCTTTCTTTTCTCTATTTACAGGTTCAGCTTGCAGGCTGGAGCCAATTTGGATCTTTAAAGGCTGATTGGATGGAAGAGTTTCGAACAGACCAACCAGGACTCCACCACACCCTACTTAAGAAGCTCACCTGGAGGTCTGGTGTGGCTACAAAACCAGAAAATTACAGACCAATTGCATTAACATCAAACATGTGTAAGATAATGGAGAAAATGATAAATGAGAGATTAACATATTACTTAAATAACAAGAAATATATCTACAAATCAAAGTGGATTCAGAAAAGGAAGAAATACATATGATGCAGCTTTGTGTCTGGAAAATGAAATTAAAAAAGCACAGATAAATAAAGAGAGTGTAGTAGCTGTATTTTTTGATATTGAAAAAGCATATGACATGTTTTGGGTTGAAGGAATATTAATTAAAATAAAGAAACTAGACATTACAGGGAAAATGTATGAGTGGATTAAAAACTTTCTATCAAATAGAAAAATACAGGTTAAAATAGGAAAAGAGTATTCTGAAAAVTATAAGGTTGAAAATGGAACACCACAAGGAAGCATAATTAGTCCTTTATTATTTTCTGTGATGATAAATGACGTTTTTAATGAAATAGAGGAGGGAATGGGACGTTCAATTTTCGCAGACGATGGAGCAATATGGAAAAGAGGTAGAAATGTAGAATTCATTATAAAAAAATACAAAAAGCAATAAATAATATACAGAAATGGGCATATGAATGGGGGTTTAAATTCTCAGTGGGGAAAACAAAAGCAATGATATTTACTCAAAAAAGAACAACAGAACTAAAAGTGTTGAAAATGTATGAGCAAGATATAGAGTGGGTAAAGAATATACGATTTTTAGGAATATGGTTTGATGGAAAAGTAATATGGAACAATCACATTCAAAAAATTATTGATAAATGTAAGAACATCTTAAATATAATGAGATGCTTAGCTGGAAAAGAATGGGGAGCAGATAGAACAGCATTAAATGCCCGCTCAACCATTTGGTTGAGCACATTTTGGGTCTCTATATCTCAATATGAGGAGTGTCTAACTTAGCTTAACCTGATTGAGCCATCTC